AAACTCACGAAATGAGTCAGCAGGACTCAAAGATGCTATGCAAATGAGCAGTTCTGAATTTACCTCGTCAAATCGATCATTAAGTTCTTGAAGCTGCAAATCCATAACAATATAGAAACAATCTACCTGATAGTGATGTAAGTTGCTTATATTGCTCTTTTTTCTTGGCTTCCTTGAATCAACATAATCTTCTTCCATATTGATCATTTCAATATTGTGTTTCTCACAAAAAGAATACACGTCGTCCAAAAGCGAATTCCATCCACCATCTCTTTGTTGTTGTAATTGTCTCTTTGTAGATTTCACCAATGAAATAGCATTCAAAATGTCTTGATCTTTCCTTTGTAAAGCCATTGATAAATTATCTGTGAGTCCCAGAATGAGCAACATCAGCTGTAGATAGAACACAAAAGCAAATGTGTAGAAATATTTGATAAGACCATATGCTTGACGTCTTTTAACTGTATCAGTGCCATCATTCTCAATGTACTCAAACACCTCAATGACAGAAGAAAATAACCCAACCAAACGCAATAGTATTTTGTAATGAGATCCCCAACGCGTATTTTCAGGTCTCTGAAGAGTAATATCTTGATTCAACCCTTTTCCTGTGTTAATCTCTCCACTATTAATTCCTTCGTTCACTTTCGTTCGATGACTTTCTCAAATCATATCTTTTCTTTTACAGGAAGCTCCAACCACATTCAACAAAACTGAAATCATGTCGAAAAAATTTCCAACATCAAATAACTCTTTTGCAACTGCTACAACGACCAATTGAAGTTGGTGAGCGAAAAAATGAATATAATATGCTGATTTATTTTCTCTTGAGATCAACGATCTCAATCCATTAAATTCACCTTTCATATTGCTTGCCCCATCATAGCCTTGTCCTCTGACCTTTTTTAAACTCAAACCATGTTTAGCAAACAAAGAATCAATGGCAGACTTCAGAGATAAAGCAGATGTTTCTTTCACATGAACAAGATCAATAAATCTCTCTTTCACTATCCCATTCTTGTCAACAAAATGAAAAACTACTGTCATCTACTCTTTATCAGAAACATCACTAGACTCATCCACCAGCAACCCAAACACATCATGTCCAATCTCCTGAATTATGTCTTGGGTTATTTGTTCTGCAAAACATTGTACAATATCTTTCTGGATTTTTGGAGAAACCATCTGACTATTCCACAGAGCATTCTTCAAAACAACCTTACTCAAACCATCATTTTGTTATGCAGTATATTTGACAAGTTCCAGAAAATTTCCTTTATTATCAGAAATTTCTGACTCATCGTGGCCTCGAAACGGTAGCCTTGATTTAACAAATATCTAGAAGAACTAATTGAGGCATTCAACCGAATACGATACTCGTTTTTCATCGTATCACTTTGCTTATGCATAGCATGTATGATAGATTGACTTTGCCTCATCAAATCATCACTCTTTTTGCGTGCATTATTATGAAAACTATTGACATCACCCACATGAGAAGCCAACCTCTCGATTTTATTCCAACTTGAAAAACCATCTGACACAAAAGCATCATTCTCAACTTGTTCTCTAAACAAGTAGCAACACAAGCAAAATGTTTTATCTTTCTTTATGTTATACTCTAACCAATCACTGTATTGGTCAAACCAAGCTGGATTAAATCGCCTCAATTTATTTTCTATCATCTTCTTTGGAAAGTCATGACCACGTGGTTGACAAGGTCCCCTAATCAAATATTTGTGTCTTATCTCATCTCTCTGATTAGGATGATACTCTAATATTTTTTTCCTATCAGCTGGATCCGAAGGCAAATCATCCAAATCAATTTTTTCAGGTATTGAGAGACTAACCTGAGAATTTGATACATTCTCGATTGTAATTTCACCATTATTTTGAGATATCGATGCAAAATTTCTTTTGAGAAATTTATCCATTAATTTTCCTGTCAAATGAAATACAAAAATAAATAAATATATAATATTAAATTAATTCGTATGATTAAAACATACATAAAAACAAATAAACAAATAAAAACTAAAATCATAAACGTACCTTTGATCTCAGTATTGCTACTTTGTTTATTTTTTGATCGAATGGGAGAAAGAGCGAAAGAGAGAAAGGGGAGGAGAGAGGGAAATAAAATAATGATATAAAAATTATGACGGCGTGGTCTAAACCTAAAAAGTAATTAGATAAAAGTGGAGACATGTTTAAGGAAAATATTCAAAAATCTAAATAAAAGAGGGCCCACATTAAAAATATGAGGGGACACGTTTGGTTTCTTATTAAAATCTATAAAAATTTATAACTATTTTTTTTTTAAATATAGCTATGGGGGCATGGGACTCCATTCACATGTATGTAAGTCCGCCACTATATATAGGTGTATGTACATGTATGTGATTGGATGGTCAAGGTTGGATTATTCGTCCAAGACAACCCTCTGATCGAGACAGAGGATTTCATTCTTCGTCTATTGCAAAATGCTTACAACTTTTACCAGAATCAATTGTTCTTGGGTGGAAGGCGAGGACTATGGCCTTGGCCTGCAACGGGGCTAGGCGGCCTACGAGGACCCTTCTTCGACCTGTTTACGAACTTCAACCCTTTATCAGGATGAAACGGATCGTCCGGATTCTTCAAATATGAACATTCAACGCTGTATTGGATCCGCGAATTCGCGAGTAATATCCCGTCGACAATGAAAAGAAAGATGAAGAGGTGCGAAATGGCAGCCATCCTCCACGAGTTGTTACAAGACTTCTCGATTTTTTTTTTTATGTTTTGAATATAACAAGTGTTCTTGATTTTGGTTGTTGTAAGGCCTTGGTGTGTATATTGTGTGTGTATGTGTGTATATATAGATATATATATATATTCTCATGAAATGCGGTCTAATATAGCAAAATCGAAATGTGAATTCCGTCGAGGAGAATGAAAAAAACATAATTTTCCAACTTGTTTGGAGACCAAGAAAAATGAAAGGAGATTAGGAAAGAAAATACCATAATGTTTTATCAATTTTAAAGGAAAATAAATTTAAAATTCAATGACAGACAGTGATGGCACGCGCTTTGGTTCTTTTTTAATTTGACAAGAAAGATTCAAAGTAGAATGTCTATAGTAGTAAACAAGGCTCGGCTAGTTTCTTGGTGGAAAAGAAAACTAAACACATGTTTCAAAAACATATCTAAAATCTAAGCCGTGTATATGTGATTTAAAGAATTAACATGTGCTGTTTTATTTACTTATGGTTAATTGGAGATTTTATTTCTATTGGCCTTTTGGATTTACCCGATCGATCAAATCACAACAAACACGAGCATGAGCTAAACGACAACAAAGACCAAAAGATGAAACTCATGAGCATGAGCGTGTGTGATTGATTTTTACCTTATTTGGCTTCATTTATTACGAAAGAATTAAGACAAAAAAGATACAATCCTAATCCCATGGTTGAGGATTATTAAACGCGCCAAATCTCCTACGAATTTGATCGACATATCTTTCGCTTTCATTACAACATCGTAGCCATTTATGATTGTGCAATCGCAAAAGATGTTTTGTCTTTCCAGAATGTTCTTAGAAACACATCTTCATTCTCTTCCTTCAATTTAACAGTGAACCTTCTTCGCTTCCATCCCCTTCCACTTCTAGTTTTCTGTGAATTCTGATCGATTCTCAGGAGCATTCGCTCGGATGAAAATGTCGCAAGCAGTTCCTGGATTGGGTGATTGTCTTCCTCTCTCCCGCTTTCCGGACTCATAATGGCGGAGGCAGCCAGAGTTGCGTGGCGGCTGCGGTGAGGGACAACGGAGACAATCTCTGTTGGCTCTGTCTCAAGTGGCAAGTGAAGTTGGTGTCGTATATTAAGATTAGTTGGAGTTTATGTCAGAAAACATTGGTTGATGTTTCAGTTACTGTTGCTTCTTAATTTTATGCGACCGTTCGTGTAACTGCAGATTACAGTTACTTGGTTTGGTGGTTTATACATTCTGTAAGAAAAAATTGAGTAACTCATTGCAGACTTTTGTGTTCTGTAATCCTATTTGGAAGAAACCGAGCAGTTTGTATGAGTGCTAATGTGTAAATAAAAGTGTTGCGTGTTGCAGAATTTCAGAATTCTGTTTCTATTGTTGCAGAAAACAGAAATGGATTTTTTGGACAACCTCGGCCATTTGCAGAGAGAGAAGAGCATAACCCAGACAAACCTTTTTCTATGCGCTCCCGATTTCATTTCGGTTTCTGGGTTTGAATCTGTCTGCCGTGAATCATCTCTGTCAAATTTGCGCAGTTTTTGGTCTGTTGGTCTCATATACTTTGTTCATAGGATTATGGGACAGATTCCCAACGGCACGAACTGTGCAGCAGATTTTGGAGGAGTTACCCATTTGCATACTCGAGCAGCCATGGATGGTCATCTCCAGCACCTAACAGCAGAGGAAGGACACCATGGAGGACGTGAAGTGTGGGTTGAAGAGAAAATGCTTAAGTAACAAAGAAGGAGAAGATCCATGGACATGGAGGTGAAGAGGGTGAGGAAGAGGAAGTGGAGAAGAAAGAGGGGAGATTGGTCTGTTCCAACAGCAGAATCACTCCTCTGCCTGAAAATGTTGAGTTGGAGAACATAAACCATACCAAAGGCTAGAACTCTCCGGAAAGATCTTGGACATCAATGTCAAGTGATCATTGTTCTTGTCTTTCCTCGCTCTTGTACGAGAGCCTGGTTGTAATGTGTAAGTCAGGTTGATGGTTCAGGCCGAATGGAAACAATTGTGGACATGCTTCTCAAGCTGTCTCACCTCATTTCTGAACTTGATTCCGCCATGGATTTGCAGGGAAGAAGACTAGACAGCCAGGTAGTGGGAGAGACATAGAGGAGCATGACAGAGTTATTGTACTGTCATGCATGTGACAGCGGAAGGTGGTTCTTGGAGAAGCAAAGATTATTTGCAGGTGTTAACCTGAAAAACCTGCATGCAATTGCAGTGTCTTCCATATAAAGCAACACATTTCGGGTATGGTTTAAAATTGTTTATAAGGCTGAATTCCCCATCAATACAGCTAAACAAGTAAAGGGAGTGAGGTCAAACTATGAATAGCCCTTGGTCTACAAGGGAGTACTCATCTTGGTCAGGGAGAAGAAGAAGCTCATTGTCAAACCTCGTGGCATCATACATGTGAAGTGGGTACGCAGCAAGGAATGATGGGTCATTGTAGTCTGTAAATTCTGTATTTTGCAATCCAGAATTCTCGAGAAAGCGGTCACCTTGAAGCCAAAACAAGCCTAGGTCTCTGTCCAGTGATGCTGCTGGGTGCGGTTCTGGGAAATCCCAGTTTAGGTTTCTCAGGATTGACTCTGTATTACATGGTATACTGCAATTGGATTCCTGCAGCATTGTACCAGAGATGGAAGATGGAGCAGACAAGTCATGAAGGCCCATTGTAGAGTTCTTGTCTTGTTGCAGAAGGAAGTCATCCCCGTTCACAGGAGCTACTCGGTTCAGGCAACTGCTGACTGGAATCTCGAACGGAGGCTTGACTTCTGTTTCAATGAGACATGGCACAGGATTCTCCGCATAATAACTTTGACCAGTCAATGGTTGCGGAAGAAAGCTGCCTCCAAGGGAAATTGGCTTCGATTCAAGAAATTGTGGAACATCGTTCCAAGAATACTGTTGGGGAAGTGAAGAGTTCATCACACTTGGACTAGCTTCTGATGCAAATGGTGCAAGGGAAGGATCGTATCCTGTACGTGGCTTTTTGGCCTTTTGTGGACTGAGGATATTGCTTATTTTGGTTTCAGACACTGCGGTTGAAGCAATCCCCTTCTGATCAACATCTGTAGCGCTCGGGTTTGGTGTCTGAACTCCCGGGCTACCTCCAGAGAACGTGTAGCTACTATTCTGAACTTCTGCAGGCTGTATTTTTCTCGGGCTCTGGTGGCTTGGACATACTTCTGCATCTTTAGGGGGTGAATCCATATTCTTCTGCCCCTTCTCCTTCTCTAATCTGCTAAGGTAAAGCCTGTATTTCTGCGACAGTAAAACAAGTTCTATCCATGTTTTGTCTCTCTATCTGACAAGTCCTAATCACTGTTTGATGTAAGAGAGTTAAGTTACAAGGCTCTTACCTGCAGGTGGCTTGCAACATTTTCTCTGGTGAGCCACGGAACATTCATAAGGTCCAGAATTTTCTTCGGACCGGCTTCTACAGAAGAAGAAACCCACAAAAATCAGGGTTCTGTGAGCAGACATATGATGAAGGGAAGCAAAACCAGAGCACCAAACCGTAGAAGTACTTACTGTGATCACATCCGATCTGATTCACAGCGTGCACAAACTTCTGGTGAAGCTCAAATGTCCAAACCACTCTTGCTTTCTTCGTGGAAGATGGATCGGTCAGGTCCCTGTCATCTTGATGCTGCTTCTTCTCCGTGTCCTTCCTTTTCCTTCCGAAAGAAACTTCCTCCCCACCGAGAAAATGGGCATCTTCCGATTGATCAAGGCCATGCCTGGAGATCCAAATACTCTCGGCTCCTTCATACCCTTCGACGTCTCTGAATTCTTGGAGCTTCTTTCTGAGGACATGTTGCCATATGATCTTCAGCTCCTTCATCCTTATCGGTTTCAGTAGGTAGTCACAGGCTCCGTGCTGAACGCCCTTCATCACCCGGCTTGTCTCTCCATCCACCGACATCACTGCACAAGTAAATACAGCTTTGAACTCAGAACCCTTAAGCTTATAAAGTGATATCAGCATAAAGACTCTTTCTTTCTTTTTTCTTGGACCTCTTCTTTTGGGAGTTCGATATAGAAGTTGAGAAATTACTTATAACAGGAAGATCCATCTCGAGCCCGACATGCTCAAGAAGCTTGAACCCATCCATGTCCGGCATGTTCACATCGCTGATCACGATATCGTACCCGTCCTTACGCTCCCGGAGTAGCTTCAGAGCCTCTCTCGCCAAGCCACAGGTAGTAACTACAAGTACGAGGAGATTGTCAATATTTGTGTTAGGCTGTATTCCTTTTATACAGATTTGTCACACAACATGGATAAACATATACTTCCATGTCTGAAGGTTTCTCTTCCATCAAAATCTCAGAAAAGACTCAGAATCTGGGAGGGATCTCAAGGTGTTCAGACAGTAGTAGTTCAGAACAGATTCGCCATAAGAGCAGGAAAAACGAAAAAGAAGACAAGGATCTTAAGAAGAAAACCAAGGAGGAGGGGAGAAGAACATGATGGGGAGGGGACCTTCATACGAGCACTTCTTCAGCATCTTCTCGAGGATCTTGAGCCAGGTGGGGTCGTCGTCCACTACCAGGACACGGAGGCCGACCGGCGAGAAACATTTCTCCATTGTCATCGGCGATAGAGATTCTCCGACCGACAGGATTCACCGGAAAACCAGAGAGACAAGACAAATCCGGTGGGGCTCTGTGTCTGACTGTGTGTGTGTTCTTTTTTGGAAAGGCAGAAATGGGAGTGGGTTTGCGTTTTATTGAGAACTAAGGCCAAAAAAATAAAAAACAAATAAAAAAAAATAAATAGGCGAATATTTGGCGCCGTCTAGATAACGGTCACTGTGGCGCACGCTAGCTTTCCCTCCCCATCAATACTCTTCATATTTTTTTTTCTCCCCTCCCCTTTTTGTTCCTTTCCTTTTTCATTTCTTTTTTTAATCCTATTTTTTCGTTGTTTAGGCTTAATTATAATTTCTGTTGACGAAATTTAAATCTTGTTTCCGTTTTCCATTTTTTTTTTGTAACTTGCATGAGGGAATTCAGGATTTTTAGTACGTCTTTACTTTGCCGGAGAAAAAGTGTTGAACTCAGATTATATTGTATTTTAGATTTAATGACAAACATATAAATTGATTTATAACAGACTTTTTTATTAATCGGAATTTTTTTTATAAAAACAATATCCATAAAACCTTTTAAGTCATTTCTAATGATTCATTTCTATATAAGCCGGGTATCTCTTTCTCTTTTCCCTTCTCCTCATTTTTATATTCTCCACTTTTCTAAATAAAACATCTATCGGTATACATTGTACATGTTCAAATCATCTTAAACCTCTTTTCGTAATTTTTTTTCTATATCTAACTATCTTCTCTCTAATATTCTCATTTTTAATTCTATGCATTCTTTTATATATATTCATACATCCATCGCACCATTTTTATCTCGGTCACATTCGTTTTGGACACATTTTATCGTTTGTCCACCCAACATTCGTTACCATACATCAATACGGGTCTTATGATGGTATGATATAGAATTTTTCTTTCAACCGTATGGAAACCTTACGATCGCAAAGAATCTCGTAGCTTGTCTCTGTTTCATCCATCCAACTTTTATCATGTGACTAACATCTTCATCGCAATTCTCATCGTTTTGAATGATTTAACCAAGATATTTAAAATATGGGTTTCGAGATACCAATCCGCTTTGCAAATTAACTCATACACCACTAGAAAGTCTTCTACTAAAACACAATGTGTGTACTCGATATTCATTCTATGAAACCTAAAACCATATGCCTCTAATATACTCTTTGTAACTCTAATTGTTCATTTATTTCTTCTCTATACTTATATATTAACACGATGTCGTCTGTAAATATAATGTACTAAGATATCTTTTTTATATATTTGTTGTCAATTCATTCATGATTAAGGTGAAGAGGTACAAGATTAAAATATTACTGTTTTAAATGGTAAAAAATTTCGGCTCTTTGATTACGAAATAACGTTCCTAATATGCATGGGTAACACAAAAGTGTGATCATTTTGTCACGCAAAAGCGTGAGCGATTTAGTCTATATATGGTTTGAGATCTTTTACTCCCCAAAACACATTCAAATGTTAAATTAAAATTAAATATTATGTGGTAGAAACAATTAATATTATTCAGGAAGGAAGTTGGATATACAAAAGAATAGATATGTCTACGGATAATATTTCAACTCATTACGAGGAAAAGTTGGTTAATTTTATGTAACTTAAAATAAATCAGAATTGTCGCATTCAAAGGAAGAAGAAATTAGTCATGTGAAAGAACGAGACAGATTTTGCTCTACAAATGATTAGGATATATATGCGTGTGTGTGGGAAATTATTAGAAATATTGGTTTGAATTAAATTTATATAATTTCTTTTTATATTAAATTTGAAAATTTTTACTATACGAGAAATTTTATTTTTTATAGTCTTAAAATTTTATTACAAATTATATAGTAACTTTAAGTTGATCAATAATAATAATAATAAACGATTATTGTATTTTGACATGCTATCCCAGTACATTTTTTAGGGATAATCGCATATAAATACCTAAACTTTTATAAAATTCTCAAATAAATACCTGAACTATAAAACTCCTAAATAAATATCTGAACTTTTCAAAACTTCCACATAAATACTCAAACTTTTAAAATTTTACCAAATAAAACAATTTTCATTGACGACATTAATTGATTGAGTCATTAATTTTCGTAAGATTTAGTTATAAATTAAACGACGTTAATGGATTTTGGTTTTATTTGAATTTTTTTGAAAAGTTTGGGTATTTATATGGAAGTTTTGAAAAGTTTAGATATTTATCTCGAAGTTTTATAATTTAGGTATTTATTTAGAAATTTTGTAAAAGTTTAGATATTTATATGCGATTATTCCTTTTTAAAAATATGGAATTTTTTCTTGCAAAATTAGGGTTCTTGGTGTGTAAATATAATCATATAAATTATTCTTCATGGTTTTAATAATGCGCCCACACACACACACACACACAAAAAGCACTAAGACATTCCAAAGGTTGGATTAGACCCACACAAAGAGCACTCTCCAATCACTTGCCGACTAATCAGTCTTATGGGTCAAAAAATATAAACCCTAATTTGTGTAATGTCGCCACGCGATTGGGCTGTGTCCTCCACGCGCTGCTTTGGAACACTAACCTTTTAATTAATGTGCATGTAAATCTAATCAATGCTTTGGCCCTCGAATTATATTGGTTGTTATTAAGTATAATTCCACTACTGATGAACATTAATCGTCCTTTGTAATGAAGGTTCTTTCTTAGTGTACTTTTTTATTCATCATTTAAAAAATAATTGTGAAGAAATAAAGGTTTTAAGTTATTGGAAACAAATGGAGGTGTTAATTAGTGCATGCCCATTAAAAGGATGACATCCATTTCCATGACATAAGAACTGACCAGACTACTATTATTATTATTATTATTATTATTATTATTATTATTATTATTATTATTATTATTATTATTATTATTATTATTATTATTAT